ATTACGTTATAGTAAAGAAGTAGGTTATAGACTTACTTAATCTTGTTTTGAGGATTTTCTGTCTTCGTACATTCCTAGTGATCTATTTCCCTACACAACCATGTCATGATCGGGAGAGGGACCTAACATTCCAGCTTCTGGTTTGGAAGTGATACATTTTGATATATCTACTTTGACTGTTGAGTACAAAAACTAGGGTTATCACATTCCTAGATATAGTTTGTCATTTACTCCCTCATCATGCCATACTTTGTTACACACTGAGGAAAATGACAAAATATGGGAAAATGACAAAATATGTTTGATTTTCATGTTTTTGTATATTTTTACATATATAATGCAATAAAATAAATGTACATTTTGTACATAGCTCATACCCAGATTCGTTGTTATTTTTATTACGATTTTTCACCGTTTCAGTGGTGCTGTGACCACTTACTTGGTAAAAAAATGTTAACATTTTGTTTAAGATATGCTTTTAATGGTATTTAAAGTTTTGTTTTTAACCCACTGAATATAAGGACAGTGTTTAATTCAAATAATTATTTTAGGACAGTGTTTAATGTGTATCTTTTTGTCCAACTTTGATCTGAAGAACATATGGCAGACAGGGTTATGTTTAGAAACACTGAATATATTCTTAATCTGTTTGTAGCATTTACTCATTCACCCCTGAAGACATATTTAAACTCTTCCAATTCAATGGTTCATTATGAAATTTCAGGGATGAATGAGTTAATGAAAGTGGTAATCATGATTGAGTGATCTATGACGAATACTTACATCTCTGTAATAACGTCTGGTGATGTTGTTACATCAGTGACATCTGTCAATGTGTTGTTAGCTCTACCGTAAGACATTTGACCATTGGTCAGTTGTGTTACGTCCTCAACATCTTAAGATGAATAATACTATACCTCTTCATTACTAATTATTTTTCAATAAATTTCAGTTTTCTGTTTTGAGTAGTTTTCTAAATATTTAACAAGTTTCCCTCTTTCATGATAGCCTGGTAACAAACTTTCCTCAACGAGCGAATAGTAAAGTATTCTGGAATCTGATATGACTTCCTATACTTATTTTCAGGGACTAATATTTCTGGTGTTTAGTAGAACATATAAAAATCCATGTACTAAATTGAGGTTTCTGATGTTCCATACAAAATATCGTGAAATAAATGAAATTGTTACTGTTGAATAAATATGTAATTTTATTAAAACAAGTTTTTTTCTGTAGTTATGTTAATTGCATCTCTTTTAAAAATATAATCATAATATAGAGTGAAATGATTTTTTTTTTGTAAAATTAATTATAATATAGAGAAATGAAATTTGTTTAAAAAAAATGAGATTCCGACGGATGTTTATAGTTTCCTATTGATGTTCTTGTATAACTGAATAAGTAAATAATTGACATAACATACCTAATGTATAACTGAATAAGTAAATCATTGACATAACATACCTAATGTATACCTGAATAATAGATAAACGATACCGCTGTTGATGTATTTACGAATTACTACGTGGGAGTCGGTGCGTCCGTAGACAATGATGCTTATTTTGGTCCAATGATGAACAATTCCTGGGGTTTTAAGTCTCACCTTCTTTATAGAACTAGGTCGATTTCTTAACGTATTATGTTTAGATCTGTTATAAAATTCAGTACAGAATCATTGTAGGATAAAAAAGCCGAGTTTAATATGAAATTAAGTACCAAAACAAGTATTGTACAAGAGGAAATCTATGTAGGAATGTAGCCATTATATTTAACATTATCTTTATGCAAAGTAAATAGTTGAAACAGTTAATCGTGATAAACGGACTATCAAGGAAACTTTTACCGAACACCTACTTTTGATGACGAAAAAGAGGACGTTACTTGCTCATCATTACACTATTAAATGAATGCGGAATTCTTACGAAGGCTAATCTAGTGGTGTATATGATCTACCAGGGACTAAGCGTCCCTACATGTAACGTCGTACCATTTACAGTATTTGTCAATCTAAAATTCATCAAAGTGATATAAAGTATGTTCATTAAAAGTTCATTATTATATGATAATAAAGAAATATAAAATTGAGTTCTTTAGTTTTGTATTTAGTAATGTTCATTGTGACAATAGCAACAATAAAGACATGTAAGATTGATTTCTTTAGTTGTGTATAAAGTAAATGAATGAATTAGTACTGTAACAAGCGAAATGTTGGTACAGTTTTTATTTTGCCTCTTTCTTCCCTTTCAAAGGGCGAATTGAACACTAGATATATTATACAGTACCAGCAGGCACCTTCACTGAGGTCACATGGGTGAATGTAACACTGGCCAAGTTAAATAGTTATAAAACGTGAAAAGGATAATACGGGTATATATCATCACTTTTAAATGTTCATTTGATTGATTTTTCATCACTAGCATTTGATGCTGTTTTACAATCATAGTGGTACAGCTTTACACACATTAAACTAGAGGTTTGGCTCAGGTTAATACAGAATATCAAAATATTAAAACAAAAATGCATTATTGATAACAAATTTTTTGTATACATTTTTCAGTCATTTGTTTTCCAATATTTTAATATTATTGTTTCCTTCTTATATTTAGATTTACAGAATATATCATACATAAAACTAAAACAATAGATGTATTATTTTTTTCTTATTTCATTTTCATTTTTTAATGATTTGTTTCTTGATTTTGAATATTATATTAACTAATCAACAGATTTTAACATCACTTATATTTCCTATGTGAACTGTCAACATTTTTTATAGAAATAAGTTCAGATATTTATTTAATGTGTTTTTTTCTTTTAATTTGTGTGGAAAACGTTATCAGATGATCATTGTGTATCCAGATATATCCCAGATGTTTTAATCTAAAGATTAAAATGAAGTTCATTACCCTTCGAGACCTCAATATATTTTGATAGCACTTGCATAACGTGAAAGTTGACACATTTTGAAAGCTTAATTTATTGTCTGATATACATATATATATATATATATATATATATACATACATTGTGCATACGTTTATTATATACCTTGCAGATAACGAATGATGAATTTCTGAATTATTATGCTGGAGTAAGCGCATCTATAGATAGTGATGTATATTTTGATCTGATGATGAAAAATGCGTGGAAACTCTAACGTCGCCATTGGATAGTTTCCCGAGAAGTACGGTAAAATGTTTAAAAAAAAACAACTCGGATTAAACATGTTATATTGTAATGCTGCTTCCAAGTATTTTACTTGGTAAAACTTAATCAACAGCTTAATGTGATTTTAATATACGGGGTTTGCTTCAAATGTAAACGTGATTACTTATTAACATATTAATGCCTGTAAATACTCAGCTTTTCAGGTTTTGTCTTTCTGATGCTGATCACTTTATTCATCGTTATAAATAAGCTCAAATTCATCAGAATATATTAAATGTTACGACTGTTGTGTGGTCCTGTCAAAGCTAGACTGGTTTGTCGACGCTTTAGTTTATTTGTATTTATTTACTTTACAACAACAGACCTATTATGTCATAAACGTTTATCAAACATACACAACAAAATCGAGTAATGTAGTTTGAAAAGTCACAATTTTTGCATATATGGCGGTGGCCCCAGCCTGGGTATTAAGGACATACGCTTATTTAATTAGTTAAATCACTTATTAATCAACGACTTTTATTGTACAAATACAACCAATGACTTATTGATTCTGGGTGACCTGTCACTGTTAGACAACGAAGCCAACTCAATTAATGATGAACAGATTCATGATGACCCTCCCTCTGTCATTTATTGAGCTAAATTCAAAATTCAGCTAATAAAATCTACAGCTGTACATGGTTTCACTATAACACAGATTGCTGTTTACTTAGTTTACTTGATTCTGGACAGCAGCTCTCCAGTAAATTATGATAAAAGTTCAATAATTGTATTGTATCAGAATACTGGCAAAATACGCAAATAAGTTTGAGTACTTTATTAAAATAACGTGTACCGCGAAATATGCCATATGAATGAGACCAACAACTTTGTCTCATTCAACGCCAATAATCGTTTATGACAACCCACACTTTGACGTTAAAAAGCAATATAAAACAAGTAGTCCCTATATAAATTACTAATCTGCGTAATGTCGTGTGCATGAACCCAAATTCACCTGGTGAAATCAGTACTCAGTGCTGATATCTTACCATGCCGAGGGAAACCTGGCGAGGATTGTTCATGCATTAATATGATAATGGAGATGACAACCGTCGCTTTTGGGAGAGTTTGATTATGTGATGAAATTTATTCAGCGGTCTTCTGTACTATTTGCGCAATTTACTCGGCGATCTGCTGTACTGTGATGTCTGTCTGTCCAGTGTTAGCATATGATAGTCGACATCAGTGTGTTTGTCTAGCATCTCATTGAACGACTATCCTCAAATATCATGCATTTTATCTTCAGAAATACAACTATGTGTCGACCTATATTCTTACGTTTCACTTATACATTTGTCCAAGTAACGAACTAACCTTTCAAGTCTGTTGACAAATTGGTGTTGTTGCATTTTAAATAACCCAACATAACAATTTAATTGTTGCATGTGTTTTTTCCTGATTTATCGGGGTTTTTTCGTGCACATTTTTAATTGATTTGTAAATACGTTCGAACATAAACTGATGATATTGACTTTCTATATTTATCTCAAAATATCTTCCCCTGCGATTGTAAACATACGAACGTCATTTTATCTTATCATATATTGAAAAAAAAATAAGGAAAAAGTATCAAAACACAAAACAATATTTGTAATCTAATAATGTGACGAACATGATCATCAATATTCAATTTCAATTTAATATTCAGTCGTCGTTGCTTGACGGTAAAAGTTTTACCACCATTATGCAATGACCTGAGAATATTTATAATCACATTGACAATGTATGTAATCGTTTTCACTGAGTGATAGGCTCATTGCCTGATGGAAAGATTCGTTTTGTTGTAGATTACAGAGGACGAGTTTGTGAATTACTATTCTGGAGTCAGTGCGTCCATCGATGGAGATGCATATTTCAGTCTTATGATGACAAATGCTTGGAAACTTTAATGATATATTTATATGTTCAATCAACACATCTACATATTGAGAAAAAAAGACATTGTTTCAATATAACGTTTAAAAAAATGAAACTAGAGTAACGTGTTACACAGGTTTCAGTTTAGCTATAATAGTATGGGGAGTTAGGTTGGCATGTTTCACGGTATTGTTACTTAACCCAGTGGTATACCTTTAGCTTTAGAAGTATCGAGACATGGTAGCAATCATATCAATTTAGTGTTATTAGAGAAAATTTGCGTTGTGGATTCGGGTTTCTAAAATATAAACTTCCACTACTTCTGTCATGTCTTTATTTAACGGCATTCTTGACTGGAATTCTGATTTTGAAAAGCCTGCTTTGTGTGATATTCCAAGTTTAGATGTTAGCGGCTTGACTTGTCACTTATCTCGTTCGTATACACACACTGCCACTTACGTAAGTAGCATGGTTCACTCTTCAAGCACTGCAATCCTGAAAGATACTCGCCTCTTGCATCAAGACCTTCGTCCTTGCATCAAGACCTTCGTCAAATGCTGGATACGTCACTGGAGCTGTCACATAAAGAAAGATCCGTTACATCGCCAAATATGTGACCCGTTTCAAATGATTAATTTTTGACAAAAAAATCTTTATTATTATAATATCAATCCATTATGTCCATATATCTAACACCAATGGAGAGGACTTATATAGGATATAAGCCTGTTGTTCAATCCTTTTGACAATGTAACATTCTTCTTTTTCACTAAAGTATGTTGAAATGGGAAAAATATCCCTCACATGACTAGATACGGAATATGTGCTTGTTGTCATGAACTTTTTATGCTTCTTGTAAATCTTGATCATTTGTCATTTATTGCTATTATACCGAAAGGTATTTCTTAAACATGTGAAGCAAATTTATAAGTTTTCCATGAGCCAACATCACGACTCTCTTGATATGCAGTGCATTATGCAGTGTGGGCCTAATATCGAACACATACATGTACATTGTAAATATTTATAATATTTAATGTTTACTTTCACGTTAAAAGATAAAAAAAAATTGGATCGTGTGTTGTGACTAATGATCAGGAAACATTACAATAGGTTTAAAGCTGTATCTGTAAAAAGAAAAAAATCCAGAACCGTGAAAACGATTAACGTTCTATTAAATGTTATGAGGAATGTAACTATTTGTCTGATTACAGATTACCGAAGACGAGTGGGTCAATTACTACAGTGGAGTTAGTGCCTCTATTGACAATGACATGTACTTTGCGTTGATGATGAATAATTCATGGGGCGTATAATACTGACAGACAACAGAAATTCGTTTGTAACAGAATATTTGTAAACTGTGTATTGTAAAAATCTACGTTTGAAAAAATCCGAGTGATAGTTTCACCTGAAAGTAGTATCGACATATTCGGATAAACATTATGAAAAATCATCGCCCGTAATTTATTTCATCTTTAAGCTACTTATTGACATTTCATCGATACGTTTTGACATTTATGAAGATAATGACCATTTACTGTCAGTTATATTTTTCCAAGACAAAATTCTTTTAATCTCGACTTACTTGAGCAGCTTTTTACCTTTTTAAGTATGACATATTGTATCATGGTTATTTGTAAAATATTTTTGAAGTAATGCTAACAGTCTCTTTATGCGCATCTCACCATAACATCTTCATAAAGTATAATACAGGTTTCGTATCATTCTAAAACACTTTCACGTGATTAGTTCATTTATTTAAATATGAAAATGTAGGAAGAAAACGAATAAATGTCGAAAATGTCGACGTATAGATTTTTTTTTTACGTGGCAAGAAATACATTTGGAGCATCGGTATCTTACTGAAGTTGTCCTATTTTGACATTTTGTGAACTGTAATCGCCAACAGTTACTCCTTTTGGATGTGATGAGAAGTTTATATATTTGGAAAATCGATTGAATCATTATCACATCAAATTCAGTTTTATTCAGATTAAATCCATATCCGTCCACCTTTTTTAAGACTATTATTAACCAGCACTTTATTCAAAGACAAAAACGTATATGATAATTGATATTCGAAAATGATTATGTTGCTGTGTAACTGTTTTGTAACCCTACATCAACGGAATGACATGAGTAGCCATTGCATGTGATTGTGGATTTCATTATTGTTTAGTTAATGTAATGCCGGCATCCCCTACTCTAAACATTAGTTATATCAGAGATATCATCCAACGTTTCCTGACTGATTGTGGTTGAACTTTTATAACGGATCTGGACTAGAACGTTACCACTAACATCATTAGAACATTCATCTACAGTTTGGAATGTTAAGAATAAGATAGCGATCGATTTTGTATTTGGGACCAACAGTGTAGGAGATTACTTATTTTATATTTTAGAAAATTCATAGTTTTATTTCACATCAAGAATATTTATTCTTTATATCAAATTCTTTTTTAAATTTGAAAATGATTGTTTTTATCTATTATTAACATTTTAAAATATTAAAAGTAATTAAAAGGTGAAAAATCGCTGTGTTTTGTTTGTTGTTTATGCCGGCATGTGCATGTATTCATTAACTGTACTCTACAAAATTGTTACAGATGAGTGTCGCATGTATATTCTTGAGTTGTTATTTTTACTCTGGAAAACGGTAAGTGAGAAGAATTGAACTGTCGATATCTTTCTCTAATAAGGAACAACATTATTGAAACATTAGGTGTCTATCGTCAGATTTTAAAGCAACAAAACCGCAGATTGGCAGATCTTTGGTAATACGTTTCATTTGATTAATCATAAAATATAATTTCATCATAGTGTGTCGCAGACAGTATTTTGTTAATATTCCATATGGTAATAATGATCCAGATGATAGAAATACACAATTTTAGAAATATTCATATAAAGGTAATCAAGATATTAATACAATATTTTAAAAATAAATAAATTGAAAGTTGATAAAATGAAGTTATCAAATGATTAAAACTGGTCACAACTCGTATTGACATCTTTCGGAGAAATGCCAAATGGTGTATGTGCTTTCACAAAAATGAAATAAGTCGAAGTACGTTTTTAGGTCACTTGTATAAAACATCTCAACTCTTGAGATTTCCTCAAGTCTAAGATTTCCCATAGACAATACATTGCTTGAGATTTTCCTTCACTTTGAGATGTTTTATACAAGTGACCCCTGAGCTTTAGCTTAAGTGACCTATTGCTATCCGTCTTCGTCCGTCGTCGTCCGTCGTCCGTCGTCCGTTAACATTTTACATTTTCAACTTAAACTGAAATACTGGCAAAGGTATTTCATTAATATTTCATGGGAAGGTGACTGACAACTCCCTGACCAAGTGTTGTTACTTTTCGGGTCGATCAGAAATCCAATATGGCCGCCATTTTGAAAAACTATTTCAAACTTACAGTCAAGTTCTGCGGGGCCGATTGAACTGAAAACTGGTAGGAATGATCGACTCATGGTCATGACAAAGTGTTGTTACTTTTCGGGTCGATCAGAAATCCAATATGGCCGCCACGACAGCCATTTTGAAAAACTATTTCAAACCTAAAGTCAAGTTCTACTGGGCCGATTGAACTGAAACTTTGTAGGAATGATCGACTCCTGGTCCTGACAAAGTGTTCTTATTTTTTTGGGTTGATCAGAAATTCAATATGGCCGCCACGGCCGCCATTTTGAAAAAAAAATCAAACTGAAAGTCAAGTTTTGCTGGGCCGATTGAACTGAAACTTTGTAAGAATGTTCGACTCATGGTCCTGACAAAGTGTTGTTATTTTTCGGGTCGATCAGAAATTCAATATGGCCGCCACGGCCGCCATTTTGAAAAAAAAACTATTTCAAACTTAAAAACAAGTTCTAACAGCTCATGGTCCTGACAAACTTAAGTTAACGTTATACTTATTTTTTTTGTATTCAAATTGGTACATATTTCAACAACAAAAATAAATACTGTAGGACTCAGGTGACCCATGGGCATCTTGTTGTGAGTTATCTCCCATTTATACCTTCTAGGTGTGTGTTACCTGCATTTTACACTAAAACTTATCATCTTTCATTCCCAAAGGTAAGAAAAGGAGTATTGATATATTGTTCAGATCTTGGATACAATGGAACAGGCAAAGCCTATGAGCGCCCTCTCCTTACAGTTATAAACAGTTTACACACATCATATTGGATTGAAGTAATGATAAAGTATGTATATTATGTACATGTATATTGATATTTACATGGCATTATACATTTTTAGCTAAGGCGTTAGCCGCCAGCTATTGGTATTACTTTAGTTAATGAGCTCAGATATTCATAAATGTCGATTTCACACAGACGGCCTCTAGCGGTAATCACTGGTACTAAATTGAATCATATACCGGACCTACTTTCTTTATTATGGGTAACTTTGGACTCAAATGCATTTGAATGGCTTGTAAATATCATTCCTTTTCTTTATAGAACATATGATCTTATCACAACGTCGTATTCTTATTGAAAATGCACCCTGTTTATCTCAATCGGGAACTGCTACTTGACTGTAGGTCATGCATGCTACACGCAACTTCCGGTAAAAATACTTCAGTTAATGAGCTCAGATATTCATAAACGAGACATAACGTCACCTTC